TATATATGAAATTAAATCGAGATGTAAAAAGAGAAGTAGTGAAAAGTAAAAATGAGATGTGGGATCGAAGATGTGCAGAGGTGGATAGGTATATGGGTGGAACAAGAGTTGGGCAAGCGTGGAAGGTGATAAAGTCTCTCCGGAGGGAAGGAAAGGAAAAATCTAACTTAAAATTAATAGATCTGAAACCGTGGAAACAGCATTATGAGGTCTTATTGACAGAGGATAGACGTAAATTCCAAGATATCGAAATGGAAGAAATATCTGAACATACACAAATAATTGAGATAACAACCGGAGAGTTAAGCGATGCCCTCAAAAGATCGAAAAACGGTAAAGCAGCAGGACCTGAAGACATCCCAATTGAGTTGGTAAATTATAGACCAAAAATATTACACGAGATGATGGTTAAACTATTTAATAAATGCCTAAAAGGACAAAATGTCCCTGATGATTGGAATGTTGGATACATCAGCTCAATATACAAAAAAGGGGATAAACGCAATTGCTCTAATTATAGAGGAATAACTGTTACTAGCTCAGTTGGGAGGTTGTACGGTCGAATAATAAAAAAACGAATTGAATTAGAATATGAACACATAGAGGAACAAAATGGATTTCGGGCAGGAAGATCGTGCATTGATAATATATTCGTTCTGCAGCAGGTAATCGAAAAACGGAAGGCAAGGAATCTATCTACCCACCTATTGTTTGTAGATTTAGAGAAGGCATATGTTACGGTACCTTTGAAAAAACTATTTTATACATTGACGAAAGTAGGTCTCAGTAGAGAGTATGTGGATGCTATCCCAAATATATACAAAATTGCAAGAAGTGTCGTTAAAGAAGGAAACTTTATATCTGAATCATTTTCAATAACCAAGGGGCTTAAACAAGGATGTTGTCTGTCTCCGACCCTGTTTAAAATATATATTCAATCATCGCTAGAGCAGTGGAGAAAACAAGTATCCGGAATGGGAATAGACATAGGCGGTGGTGAATGTCTAACAGCTTTATTTTTTGCAGATGATCAGGTAGTCGTAGCGAATGACGAGGAAGACATGGACTACATGTTTAGAAAACTAAAGAAAGAATATGAAAAATGGGGCCTCAATATGACTATGGCAAAGACAGAGTATCTTAAAATAGGAGATGGTGAAGAAGATCCAGAGTTAGAAATTAGAAACACAAAAACATGCAATGAATATAAATATCTCGGATCTATAATATCTAAAGAAGGCACTACCAAAAGAGACATCGAAAACAGAACACAGCAGGGAAAAAAAGTGGTAACTATTCTAAACTCTCTACTTTGGTCTAAAGATATTAGACAAGAAACGAAATTGACAATCTATCGAACATTGGTATAGCCTATTATGACTTATGGGGCAGAGGTTTGGCAGATAACGCAGAAGGATAGAAAAAGAATAGAAGTAGTAGAAATGGATTTTCTAAGGAGAGCGTGTGGTATATCCAAAAAAGATCACATCAGGAATGACGATATTAGAAGGAGGACAAATACTGTATATTCCAGTGTAGATAGAATTGAAACGAGACAACTAGTGTGGTATGGTCACGTGAAACGAATGAATGAAGATAGATGGCCAAAGAAAGCTTTAAATTACATACCACAACAAAGAAGAAGAAGGGGAAGGCCTTCAGTTGCCTGGGAAGAAAATGTACGGCACATAATGAGAGATAGAGCCATCAGAGAAGACGAATGGATGGACAGAAAACGATGGCGGTCGAAATGCGAGAAACGGCAGAGGCTGTAGGAACCTCGCTTATATATATATATATATATATATATATATATATATATATATATATATATATATAATATATATATATATATATAATATATATATATATATATATATATATATATATATATATATATATATATATATCTATATATAAGAAAAACTGCCCAGGTTCAATTTATTTTAAATCTTAATTTTACTGAGATATTCATTGGAAATGAAATGTTATGTGTACTCAGTGCTTGTGTACGGAGTAAACACGTGGACATTGAAGGCGGAAACTCTATCAAAACTTTAGGCTTTTGAGCTGTATCTATACATCCTAAAGATACCATGGACAAAGTCACCAATGAAGAAGTATGCAAGATGATGAACACAACTGCGGATTGTGAAGGGCCGTAGTTGTGTTGTCTCCGAATTAAAAAACTGCAAAAATCTGATTGCACTACCTTGTTTTATAAATACTAGTTGTTACTTTTATTATTGCGTCTTTAAAGTTCTTTGGGGTTTGCTAATACGTTTAAATTTAAGCGTGACATTAGCAATTAGTGGGTTATGGTCTGATGTAACATCTGATTCTGTCTAAATATGTAATTTAAAGAACGTGTTTGTGATTATTAGACTTTGTACTTGGCAGAATTGTATTAGACGATATCCAAAAAAGAATACCAAGATATAATTTTTTAAAATATTTAATATGTATGAAATATAGTTTAATAAATTTGTTATATCACAATTTTGTTTTCCCAAAAGTGTAGACAGGTGGTACATTGCCTTTCATCTGGCCATATCTATTTAAAGAAAGGAAACGCTTCATTGCCATAAAAGTATTTTCACACACCCTCAAATAAAGAAAAAACTGTATAAAACGAAAGAATCAAACAAAGAACTACTTACCCTTTTCGCAATATTCTCCCTCATAGTCGGGATTCCGACACTCGCAAATTGGGCCGCTGTCCGTCGAAATGCAAATGCCGCCATGTTGGCAGGGGTCGCGCGTCTCACAAGCGTCACTAGTACTGTTGCCACGTAAAATCTGAAAAATAAAATAGTGAGTTTTAACATTTTAGTATACATTTTTAACATATCTTTCTTTATAAGGAATACATTTAAATAAAAATGTTTAAAAATATATATGTATAAGCTCTCCAATACGAACTTTACTGCATACGAGCAATAATGCTTTTAACTGCATTCTATATACAGTGCTAGTCAAAATTCCGTTCCCCGCCCCCCTATCTTTTAAACGGTTATTGCTATAAAAGTGAAATTTAGGAGGGAGGTAATAAACAGACGTAGGCTTCTCAACTAGTCATAACAGTTGACGTAATAGTGACAGATGACGTTACAGCGCCACTGTGACAGATAAGTTTAAATGGGACCTTATGGCAAGTGATGTCTCGTTTGAAAGGTATTGAAAATATCTATTTAATCATGATTAAATATAATTAATATAATTAAATAATTGTGCTTCAGTTTAATCTCAAATAGATGAATAAATTAAATAAATACTGTAACGAAAATATTTTGCCTACCTCAGGGTAAGATTATAGGGGTAAAGATAGGATAAGCAAAATAAACGCTACCTGTGCGAACGGCACTCCGGGTTTGTTAGAAGAGCTGGGGTCGTGGATAAGGAAAATCAAAAGGGTTGTATTGGGGCAACTACCAAACAAATGGAACAAAGAGTCATGAATCTCTTGGGACAAATAAAGCAAAAAGAAACAGGACATACCTCTAATAATTTAATATAGAGTGCCACTTCGAGGTGCCTAATTATACCTATTACAACACTAGTTGTAACTAGGAAAATAATTATTAAACATAAAAAACATACCTTTTTCAAATAAAACTCAAAAAAGTGTTAGTTTGAAAAAAATTAACAAAATGTTAACAAAATTAAGAAACAAAATTTAATATTTATTGGTGTCTTGCCACAAACAGTTATAAAAATAATTGCACAAATTTACATATAGATTAATAGTTACAGAGAACAAGCATAACAAAAAAACTTACATGTGTCCTAGCTGTTTACAAACTCTGTTGCTACAAAACTTACAAAATTGCATGGAGGTTAACCTTCTTTAAAAATAAAACAAACTAAAATAAAAAAATAATAAAACGAGCTGTCATAAGTTAACAATAAATTAAAAAAATAACTGAACACACAAATTGACAGCTAAAGTCAAATCCTAAAATTTTATAATTTATTAATTATTATAAATTTTAAAGGATTTGAAATATAATTTGAAAGCAAAATATTAATTAAAAAAAAATGTCTGTCTTTACTTTAAATTTGGACACAAAAGTTACCTTGACTGCACTGGATTTTACACTAGAATTCTGGAATTATAACTGGAACTAAACAAACGGCTTCAGGAACAAAGCAGAAACAGCGATATTGAAGAAGTACTTTAACTGGAAACAAACTGAAACATCAGAATTGCTGCAGGCAAGACAAATCTCTTAAATACTTTTTTAACCTCCTCTGTAACTAGACATACTTCACAATTTACTTTTCACTGCTACATATTTTCATAAAAAGGGGCTAAAAACAGAAAACTACAAATCGACGGATGAATTTGGATCCATACCTGAGTCTACAGCGACCCAAGTAAGAATGACGAAATTATCTTAAAAATTCGTTCACATAACTTGAAATAAACAAAACGCTGAAATTAACAAAACACAGTGAAAATTAAGCCGACAAAGGAATTGAAAATACTTTTTGCGTATTTCAACTTACGATACTTACTTTGTACTTTGCGTACGATAGAAAACTGAAATGCATTAAAAATACTTTTCGATTTTTCAAACATATATGAGGGGATTTCAATATATTACATATACGAGGGTATTTCAATATACACCAAAGAATCAATGAAATTGCAAATGCTACAATACTAATTGTCTTATTAATATAAATTGCTTAGTCCGAAGTTAGTCTCGGACTAGTTAGTCCCAGATTAAGCGAGTACTAACTTCATTTTCAGAATGTCATTAATAAAAATGGACTAAGCTCAGACTAACTACAGTCCTCAGATTAACATTCCTTAGTCCTAGTTACAAGTTTATGTTGGCAACCCTTGCGAAAAACAAGAAAAATGGAGAGAATTTTGTGAAAAAGAAGAAAAATATGTGAGAATTTGACAGTTAGTATAATTTTACTTTGTTCTAAGAAAGTTTGTTTATATTTGATATTATTTTTTTATCTGAGTGTAAACTTTTTAACTTAAAATGACCGAACAAAAAGCAAAACGTATTCGTTCAATGAATTGGGATGAAGAAGAAAGGGTAAGTAATTTGCTTAAAAGTTTTATTAGAAATTTTCCTATTTCTGATTTTTTTTTGTAACATTCCAGCAATTGTTTTGCAGTATTTTGAGAGACTATTTCCACACCATTGAGAAGAAATCGTAAAATACAAACTCCAATAAATCAAAAACAAAAGCATGGGAAGCAGTTCATTAAAAATGAGATGTTTTATCTGTTTTAATAAAATTCCATTAATCATTAATACCTTTATAAACATTTTTTTTAAAAGTACACAGAAATTTTATATTTATTTATTCATATGTTTAATTAACAATTCTCCAACTTTGTATTTTTTTTGTTTAGGTTTAATAAATTTAAATAGCAGACCTAGGGATTTAAGACAATTGCAGACCCAATGGAAACACATGAAAATGAATGCCAGCAAGGTGTACAGCGATTATAATCGAGAACTTAAAAAGACAGGAGGTGGACAGGGACCCACAATTCCAGATGAGATAGTGATGGAGATTAAAGACATCATGAATCCTGCAGATTTGTTGAGAGATTATAATGTATATGATTCTGATGACCCTGTGAGTTTTCATATAATAGGTATTATTATATACATTAGATTAAATTTTGTTTTTCACAGGTAACACAATTATCAACCTATGAAATGGAACCAATTACTAGTGAAGAAGTGGACACCCAATTAAAGGTCAGTAGATTTATCAAAGATTTCCATTTTTTGATATATTGTCATCACTGTAGAGTGAAGAATTTACAGAGGTGGAGAGTGAACAGGTAGAGATTGAAGAAATGAAACAGGTTAGTTGATTTGAAGATCTGAAGATTTGGTTGCGTCAGTTTATATTGTAATGATTTTTATAAGTTTCCATTTCTATTAAGAATGATTGTTTGATCAAGTCTCTTAGAGTCTCACTTTATATATATATATATATATATATATATATATATATATATATATATATATATATATATATATATATATATATATATATATATATATAGTAGAGTTAGTATTAATTTTGGGAATTGGTATTAACTAAGGTAGAGAAGTTAGGAAATTTGTTGGGAGAATTTCAGGAAATTCAAGATGTAGGTAATAAACGTTTCGTCTCTTTCGTAAAATAGTGGATCTAGTTGTAGAGAAAATGTCTTGAAATCGATCTTTTAACGTATTGGTATAAGTAGGGTGTTCTTTATTACTAGCTATTTTAGAAGCATATGAGAGAGAAAGGTATTTGCATCGTAACCTTAGGGGTGGTTCTCCTGTTAAGCATTGTAAACTTTTAACTGTTGTCGTTCAAAACGCACCTGTAGCTATTCGTAGAGCTGTATTTTGAACAGTTTCTAAGGTTTTCAATACTGATACTGTGCTTGATAAAAAACTATTGCACCATAGTCGAGTTTAAATCTAACTAAAGATTTATATACATGTACAAATGTATTTTGATCTGCTCCCCAGTTTTTTCTGAAAATGGCCTGATTTTTTAAGTTCCTTTGTATGTTTTTTTCAGGAAAGCTTTTGGTCGAAAACCTTACCTAAAAATCTGATTTTGTGAAACTTAGGGTTATGATTTGATTATATAGCTTCAGATTTTATATTATATATTTATAATATATTTATATTTATATTTTAGTACACATAATATTGAAACCTTTATAAGTAAATTACATAATCATGACTGGATTAATTTAAGTTACAAATGTGTAAATGATCAATGGAATACTTTCTTAAATCAGTTTCTGTATATATTCAATCAGTGCTTTCCTTTTAAAAAGTTAGATTCTAGGCAACGTAAAAAAGGCCTTAATAAAAGAGATGATCCAGAGATAATAGAATGTAAGACTCGTTTAGACATCTTGTTTACAATGAGCAGAGTTAACCATAAATTCTATGATTCCTATAGACAGGTAAAAAAAGAATATAATAAGAAACTAATAACAAAACGATCAAAGCTATATGAAAACAGGATATCTGAAGCTGCCAATAAAAATAAATGCATGTGGCAAATTGTTAGTGAAATTAATGGTCAATTAAAAAGTGTAAATTCAATAAAAGTAGAGGGTAGTCCTCAAGAGATTGCTGATAAATACATGATACACTTAAATACTTCTTTAAATAACACTTTATCTCAATTACAATACACTGAATATAAAGACAACATTGCAAGTAACATAAATTCAGTGTTTGTCGCACCTGTGACAGAAACTGAAATTATGGATATAACTAAAAATTTAAAAAACAAAATGAGTTGTGGAATTGATGAAATACCCACTAAAATCCTTAGACTTTGTATAAGGGAGATAGTGAATCCTCTCACTACAATCATTAATAATTCACTAAAATCTGGTGTATTTCCTGAATGCCTGAAAACTGCCATAGTAACACCTGTTTACAAAAAGGGTGATCCTAAATTAATTAATAACTATAGACCAATTAGCCTTCTATGTTCCTTTTCAAAAATCTTAGAAATGACTATGTATAGGCGGATAACAGAATTTTTAACAAAATGTCATATTATTAATGCAAATCAGCATGGTTATCAACAGGGAAAATCAACTCAGACTGCGATTTTTCAATTTGTCTGGGATATTTTGAAATGTACTGAGATTGGTCATATGGCTTTGGGTCTCTTTTTGGACCTATCAAAGGCATATGACTGTTTAGTGCATGACATATTATTTGATAAATTGGAGAAATATGGTATACGTGGACCAGCATTGAACTGGTTTAAGTCCTACTTGGCAAATAGGAGACATTTAGTAAAAATACATAAAAACACTGAAATCGGCATCTCATCTGAAAGCACTATCAATATTGGAGTACCACAAGGAAGTGTGATTGGTCCTTTACTGTTTGTGATCTATATCAATGATCTTCATGGTCTAGTGGCTAATACTACTTCCAGCATAACAAATTATGCAGATGATACTAACATTTTAGTCAGTGGTAAAGACATGTCTGTTCTAAGCGTTAATGCTAGTTTAGAGTTCCAGAAAGCTAAAGACTGGTTTTCTATGAATAGGTTGGTTTTAAATCAAAATAAAACAGCTCTTCTTTTGTTTAAGACAAATTATGCACATTCAGATATGCCAAACAGTATTATTGTAAATAATGACACTTTAAATATTAGCAGCAGTACCAAATTTTTAGGATTATATATTGATAGTTTTTTATGTTGGGATAAACATGTTGACCAGTTATGTATGTCTTTGAGTAAAGTGATTTACAGCTTTAGAGTTCTAAAAAAATACATGAATAGTAACTCATTAAAAACAGTGTATCATGCTAATTTTGAAGCAAAATTTAGATATGGTCTAATAAATTTTGGACACAGTAGGGACATAAATAATGTATTTCTGGTTCAGAAAAAAATAATCAGAGTTATGTTTGACTTAAAAAGTAGGGAATCATGTAGAGGGCATTTTAGGAGTAATAATATTTTAACAGTTTATGCTGTATTTATTCAAGAATGCTTACTGTTTCTATATAAAAATAAAATACTATTTAGGAACTTTGAGCCCAATAGTATAGTAAATACCAGGTTATATAATTATAAAATTCCAATACACAGGTTAAGTATAACAGAAAAAAACGCTCTTTATTGCTGCATCAAATTGTTTAATAAACTGCCTGAACCTATTAAAAGGGAGGAAAGATTAAGTGTGTATAAACATCAAATATTTAAATTACTGGTAGCTCTTGAGCCATATTCTGTGGAGGACTATTTGCATATGTAACGGTTAGGAATAAGTAAATAATATTTTCGTTTGTGACACTGTTTTTTTTAAATAATTTTATGTTCACTGAATGTATATTGTTTTCTAAAAATAAAGATATTGTTATGTTATGTTATGATGTTGAGTTAGAGTGTTATGTTTTCATGTGAATAAAATACATTTAGTTTTTGTTGGTAAAAAATTGTACTCCGATAGTCCTAAACCATGATTCTAACTGACTGATTGTTTATTGTAAATATTTTTGAATAGATCCAGAGTTTTTTCCTTTGGCAAATAAAACTAAGTCATCAGCGTATAATCTTTCTTTAACAATCGGTGTGCATTGTTAAAGTATGTCGTTCATGTCTATAAGAAAAAGAATTGAGCTTATAACTGATTCTTATGGTACTCCATTATTTTGAAGTTTTTTTTTCTGAGTAAACGTTTTCTGATCGAACTATGAAGCTCCGAGATTGAAGAAAATTTGAAATAAATTTTAATATATTACCTCTGATATTCCAATTATGCAATGGGCGTATTATTCTTTGTATAGTTTTTGTTCTATTTCCAGATATAATAGTGTATTTATGACACAGTTTAATACCCATAATTGGCTGAAAGAATGAGTAATTTTAGTCGCAAAAAATAGAGATGTCGATAATTTTTTTTCCACGAAAGTTGTTTTCACTTAAATCAGCAGACACATAAATTAAGATGACTTATCATGAAGTCAACTATTTACGTACAGAGATTTTGAATTCATTGAAATGTCCTGGAATCTTACCTCACAATTTACAATTAAAAATAGGATCAGGTCTAATTAAAAGTAATAACATTTAAATGGATCTATTTTCTTTAAAATTTATTGGTATTAAAAAACTTATGGTTAAGATACTACCAATAAATTTACAATAATATTACAATAAATCTCTGATTTGGTAAAACCGAGTTACAGCTTTCGCTGTGAATAAATCTTAGTTCCAATCGAAACTTAACGTTATGGTTGTGGTGTTTAAAATTACTGCGGATCTTCGCACTTTGTTCGCGAAGCATTCTGTGGAATGGAATGGAATGGAGTATGAAAATTTATATCAAAGCCAAAACCAAACAACAAACAAACTTTAGAACAACTCAAATCGTACCTTTGCCCATACCTTAAATACAAACTTTTCACAGACAGTATTAATGACAGAAAGATACACATAAATATTTACTGAAATTTTTATTACCGAAATATTGTTATAGGTATAACTTTCTGTATTTGTTTAAAAAACTACACTCATGGAATTTTCTTATTTTTTTTTTTGAAAATAAATTCTTGCCAATCAACGTTTATTGTAAAAATGAGTTTATTCTAACAATGTTTAATGAAAAATTTTAAGTTAAGTTTTTATGCATAGAAAATTGTAAAAAAATAATGCTTGATGCTATAGTTTATTTTTATGAACGAGAGAGTAAATAGCATAATTTTAACTGGTACCTCCGGCCACTCCATGGGCGTGCTCAAGATTAATTGAAAAATTACTTTGAATAATTGTAAAAAATAAATGAATTATTTCAGTGTTATAAAGTGTTATGTGTATGTAAACAAAAGTGACCTCTTTTATCACACACTATATTAGAACTGACTGGTCTACATTAAAAAGGGTTTTAAAAAATTCACATTTTTTTTTATTTTTAAAAATTACAAAAGAGAAAAAGAGTTTTTAAAACCGTCTAAGGTATGTTAAATAGATGAATAAAAATATTAATATAAAACTTACAGCTACTTGTTACAAATCCAAATCAGATTCAGAAGATGATCTTTCAGAAGCAAGATTTATAATAACTGGCTCGATCATTTTATCAGTAATATTGTCCAGCTTCCACATTTTTTCCTCTTCTTTAATAGTGTGATTTACTGCCTTTTCCCAGTTTTCAGGTTTTACATTATTTACGGCCTCCAAAAACAACTGTTTAACATCATGAATTTTAAAAGTTGTATTTTTTCTTGAAACTTCACTCTTTATCTGTGCCCATACCAGTTCAATCGGGTTTAATTCACAATGATATGGTGGGGATCCAAGTACTGTCATTCCACGATTTTTGGC